CCTCAAGGCTTCCAGCATCACAAACCCCATCAAGTATGCCGCTTATATAAATCACTCTATGGATTGCGACAGTCCCCCAGAAATTGGTTTGCTAAGTTGCGGTCATCTCTTGAGTCCTACGGTTTTACTCAATCTAAGGCTGATTATACTCTATTCACCTTACACAAGAATGGTCACTTCATCGCTCTTCTCATCTATGTTGATGATATTATCTTAACTGGGGATGATGCAACCACATGCAATGCTGTCAAAACTTTCCTCCACTCATGCTTCCATATCAAAGATTTGGGGATTTTAAAATATTTTCTTGGAATAGAAATGGCTCACAGTTCTTCTGGTCTCTTTCTAAGCCAACGAAAATATGCTCTCGACATATTGGAAGATGCTGGCCTCCTTGCATGCAAACCTTGTGACTTTCCTCTTGAAACAAATCATAAACTTGCTATTACAGAAAGTCCCACTTTCTCGGATCCAGCACGGTACAGAAGGCTCATAGGACGTCTAGTTTATCTGACTATTACCAGACCCGAGTTAAGCTAATCCGTCCATGTTTTATCGCAATTCATGCAGAATCCCACCGAAGCTCAATATGAAGCTGTCTTACGTATTTTGCGATACATAAAAGCTAACCCCGGTCAAGGATTACTGCTTCAATCAGAAAATGACCTTCTTCTTCGAGCTTATTCTGATTCCGATTGGGCTAGCTGTCCACTTACCAGGCGATCAGTCACAGGCTATTTTATTATGTTAGGCACTTCCCCTATCTCTTGGAAAACAAAGAAACAGCCTACAGTGTCACGCTCCTCTGCAGAGGCTGAATATCGCGCAATGGCAGCAGCCACAGCTGATTTATTATGGATCAAATCGTTCTTAACCTCTCTTGATGTTCCCCATTCACAGCCAATGCTTTTACATTGTGATAACCAATCTGCTATGCAAATAGCTGCTAATTTAGTGTTCCACGAACGCACCAAGCATATAGAAATCGATTGTCATTTTGTGCGAGATCATGTTTTACGAAATACAATCGCTACTTCTTATGTTCGTTCCGATCAGCAGATTGCAGACATTTTTACCAAAGCCCTTGGCATGAAGCAATTCGGTTTTCTTCGCAGCAAGTTGGGCATTTCTTCATTACATGCTCCAACTTGAGGGGGAGTGTTAGGATAAGATCACCTTTGATCTTATTCTTCAACTAATGAAGACCAAGTCTTTAGGAAGAGTTTGTTAATATCTTGTATCTGTATGGTTTGGTTAAGATAGTTTGTTTGTTCTCTATATAGTATTGTTACGATAGTTTGTTATCGTTTGTTTCAGTTTGTTGTCATTTGTATATGGGTTTTATTTTTCTTATGTTGCATGAGACAAGTTGTCTCATGCAACACACAAAAAGTGGGTGGGACCCGCTTTTTTATTTTCTCTCTCTTCTTTTTTAGTGGGTCCCATTCACTTTTTGTGTGTTGCATGAGACAATTTGTCTCATGCAACATAAGAAAAATAAAACCCTTTGTATATATAATTGGCTATCTGCCACAAAGCAATACAACACTTATCATTCAATCCTTTCATACTTTTCTATAGAGCTGAGCTCGTTTTGTCGACTACTCTTTTTAAAGGAGTTATTAAGCAAAACCCGATTCACAACACCTCCGCGACTGTGCAAGCATATAGATGAAAAATGTTTGTAAGCAGGCTTACACTTGCAATCTGCAAAGAAACTCAAATATGTAATTTTGGATGAAAGGGAACAACCTCACCAACTGCTCCAAAATGCTATGTTTTTTTTTTTTTTTATAATATTAATTTTAATTTTTACAATACCATGTTTTACAGAAAGAGTGGCAAAGTAAAATCCAATGCGAAATGAAAAGGAATATATACATATGTATGTATGTGTAATTGTGTATGACAAAGCACAAACAACTCACCTATAAGCTGTGCAGTGAATGTGCTACTACAATGCTACCTTTGTAACATTCAGCCTAAGTCTTAACTAGGTTGAACAGATTCATTATAACCAGACACTTGAGCCAGCTCTGATAGTTCTTGTTCACCACTCAGAACCTGCAGGAAAATGTCCAATGCAATGAGAACGAAACAAATTTGGCTAGAGCAGAGTAGGGTACCCAATTATAATCTCAGTTGCATAATATGGGAGTTCAACTTCAGCCAGGCTGCTAATGTAGACAACGGAAAAATTTGATAATTTTGAATTTTCTGTTACAAGAGTAAGCATTCACCTGGGTTTCATCTCCAATGGGAGTAGAAAAAGACAAAATAAACATATCACCAGCTGAGGTTCATTTGAAAGAATAAACCTATCCTTCAAATGAAAATTCCTTAAGTAACCACCAAGTTAATACATCACCAATCATTTCTTACAGTTCCACATTACGATTTACGATATTAGACTAGTACGTTGTCATATACGAGTTGAGGTTTGCTATTTCCAATTTGCTATGTCTTTGTGCCAAAACCCTAATCTGTTTGTTATGGACGCATAACATACATGAAGGCTGTGCAAAATGTTCCATAGTAGCTTAAATACGTTCTACACATATCATATATAAGTCAACATGAATAAAACTGAAACATCTAATAAAAAGAAATTCTGGACAAGAAAATTAATATTAGCAATGAGATGAAAGCCCGGAAGCAAAACTTTATGAAAGAAGATATACTGAACAACGAAATATTGGAAAGGACACTAACTAAGAATCGTTTCAACCCGAAATTTTAAAGTATTAGTTAAATGTCTTTTTAATGATTTATATTATTCTCTAATACACTTTTCATGTAAGAGTCCTTTGAATTTGAAGCGTAAATATTACAAAGCTCTATATATCCTTCAATCTCTATATATCCTTCAAGCACCACATGAAACTTTATGACTCTTTATATATATAAGGTCCTGAAGAATATGATTTTGGAATTTTTTTGTTCAGCGTAAAGAATGCTGAAGTGGCGTGTGGTGTTGGAGAGCAAAAACATAGAAGTTCCGCCTTAACAATTCAAGCGAAGGTAGGAGGACAGTGTAAAGGAGAAGTCTCACATTGCTGACAGGAGGAATGACTGAGGTTCGAGTTTATATAAAAGAGGAGCCAAGTGAATAACAAAACCATCTTTGCGCTTGGGGCAATGACGCAGCTAGTGAGGTTCTAACCGAGGCGCGTCAATTGCTGGTTGAAAACTATTTCCAAACCCCCTCTTAGGCCTGGGTTTTGCCTTGGCCTTGGAGAATTTCTGGAAGGGCTCCCTTTGGGGAAAAGCCCTATAATTCTAGTTCAATATTATTTCCTTACAAGATTGTTTTTCGATGTTTTTAGGAACTAAAATGTTAAAACAAATCTATATTCCATTTCAGTTATAAAAAAGGTTCATTTATATTAAAATAAAGTTCATTTATATTAAAATAAACTAAAATGTTAAAATTAATTAATTTTGATTCGATTATCTCTTAAAGCAAAGGAATTGTAAATTACAAAACTCAATATACTTTTGTTTTGCGTGCTGGAGTTCATGTAAGAAAAGTGATTGTGTTATGTTATAGAGATTTGTTTTGCGTGCTGGAGTTTTTTTTTTTTGCTTAAAAATTGTGGGTCCCACAAAATATTGTGTGTAGAAAAGTTGTTGTGGTCATGTTAAATGATAGATACAAATCCTCAAAAAAATTATGGTCACTTTAGTTTCTTAAAAAAATAAAATAAAATTAGTCGTCCAATCCTTTATGAAATTCAAAGTAGACTCTATTTTAGTCCTTTTAGGTCTAATATGTGTTTTTTTTGAATTTGTGAGGGACTATGATTTCAATTAAATGGATTCATTTTAAATTTTTTAAGAATCTCGAGACTGTTTTTTTACGAGACTAAAGTGAGACAGTATATTTTGTTAGAGACCCAAACAAAGTTTTACTCTATTTTTTTTATGACTATCTTAATTTTAACTAGTAACTCGATTCACTAATTAATTTTAAATAATTTTTTTGGTAATCAATTTTACATAAATTCTAAAAGTAAATCTATTATAGAAAACAATTAATGTGAAATTAATTAATTTACAATTAAATTATATATATATATACGCGCGTGCGTATGCCTGTAAATTCGTCACTTGCAAGTGTCTGGAATTTTATAAACATGAACTTTATTCAATTTAAAAATATTATAAATATATTATAATTTAATGCAGGATTTAAATAAATAAATTATAGCATACCAAAAAATAAATAAATTATATAGAAAGTATAGTTTTTTAAAGCATAAATACGCAGACGAGATCCTACACTAGGTTCCGCGAGTTTGCAAAAGAAAACAATGCATAAAATTCATTTTATGAAATATCTCACTTTTCATTCTATTTTTTTTTTTTGGTAAATCAGTTTTCATTCTATTCCTTACGAATTTCATGTTCTGTTCCACACCAATATCATTTCATTTTCTTCTCAAGTCCTTTTAAAATTTATATATTCATCACCAAATCACTAATAAAATAAAAATAAAAATACATATCCTAGTTAAAAGTTATCAGTTGCTATATCCACAATTTTCGTTAAATATTTATAGGGGAATGCATTCATGCTGTTGTAGGAAAAAAGAAAATTGATTTCCAAAAAAAAAAGGAAAAAAGAAAATTGTTCTATAGACACAATAATTTAGGAGAGAAAATGATAAAAGGAGAGAGAAAACACAATGCATGGGCCATAGAAAATTGTATCTGTAGGAAGAAAAAAAAAATTCCTGTGACAGTACCGATATATTACCCATATTTATAACAAGGATAGCACTTAGGACAAATTTGACAGACTAAAAAGAAAATTGAGATAACCATAAAACGAATTGAAGTTATGAAACCAAAAAGACCCTATAGTTATACCTTTCTTTGTTATGTTTCTTTTGGTTCATTTTTTTTTCAAACTATGTATTTTTAAATTATTCTTCAATATCTACGCTGCTTTTTATTCTTTCAGCACTTGCTATATATAAATAATTAATAATCTAATGTAAAAAAACATAACCATGATTTATGTTATTAAAATTTAAAAAACATTTGCTTACAAAATAGCCGTCTACTTTCGGCACTTCTAAACAACAGAATAATATACTACTTTTTACATTATGTCAAATATTGAAGACCAGAGTAATACGTCTTTTAGATACTTATGACTCTCTTTATAGGGGTGATTAAGCAAAACCCGATTCACAACGCCTCCCCGACTTTGCAACCCGATTTTGCAAGCACAGGGATGAAAAATGATTGTAAGCAGGCTTAGACCTGCAATCTGCAAAGAAACTCAAATATGTGATTTTTGGATGAAAGTGAACAACCTCACCAATTGCTCCAAAACGCTATTTTTTTTTTTTTTAAATTTAATTTTTACAATACCATGTTTTATAGAAAGAGTACCAAAGTAAAATCCAATGCGAAATGCAAAGGAATATATACATATGTACGTATGTGTAATTGTGTATAACAAAGGACAAACAACTCACCTATAAGCTATACAGTGAATGTGCTACTACATTGCTACCTTTGTAACATTCAGCCTAAGCCTTAACTAGGTTGAACAGATTCATTATAACCAGACACTTGAGACAGCTCCGATAGTTCTTGTTCACCACTCAGAACCTGCAGGAAATGTCAAATGCAATGAGAACGAAACAAATTTGGGTAGAGCAGAGTGGGGTACCCAGTTATAATCACAGCCTACAGCCTACTGCCTTCTTTACCTGGCCATTAATAATCCAGGTGGGGAAACCTTCAATTTTGGCGTCCATGCAGGCCTTGATCATTTTAGTTCCTGTCCGATATCCTTCTGGAAAGCATTCCACATAATCCAACTGCTTAGCTGCCTCTCGTCCAAACATCTGTATCAATGGGTTAAGGGAATTATTATGCTTGAGAGCAAGTTAAACAACAAACTGTAGCAAGCAAGGCTTGTGAACTGTCCTCTCTGGACATTATCAAGCATAGAAAGATAGGTTGACAAATTAAAATTAAGTACGTTAGTATGCTATGATAGGCTTATAGAAAAAGGCATTTAATGACAGTACCAAGAGCAGTAAAAGTTTTCATGAAGAAGAAATAAACCATGAAATTTATGAATCCATTGACAACTCCTTATGAAACCAAGGTCAAGCAGTAGTCATTCGATTGAAAATTACATTACCGAAGTTGAATTCTAACAACTAAACTAATCTTACACAACACAAGTCATTCACTTCTCACAAGAATTGATGACAATTTCAAGATTGAGAAATGCATAACAGATGATGATGATTTACATTCCAATTAGTATGTTTAAAAATCTAAAAAGGAATTACAAGTGACCACATACCTCTTTTTGTTCTAGACAGTGCGAACACCAGAAAGCTCCATACATTTTAGCACCTATGGATTGCAAATACCTTGCTAGAGATATTGCAAACGGGCTTGACGGAGTTGTAATCTCAGTCGCATAATATGGCAGTTCAACTTCAGCCAGGCTGCTAAGGTAGACAACGGAAAAATTGAGAATTTTGAATTTTCTGTTACAAGCATAAGCATTCACCTAGGTTTCATCTCCAATGGGAGTGGAAAAAGACAAAAAAAATACTACCAGCTGAGGTTCATTTGAAAGAATAAACCTATCCTTCAAATGAAAATTCTATAAGTAACCACCAAGTCAATACGTCACCCATTTCTTACAGTTCCACATTACGATTTACGATATTAGACTAGTACGTTGTCATATACGAGTTGAGGTTTGCTATTTCCAATTTGCTATGTCTTTGTGCCAAAACCCTAATCTGTTTGTTATGGACACATAACATACATGAAGGCTGTGCAAAATGTTCCATAGCAGCTTAAATACATTCTACACATCATATATAAGTCAACATGAATAAAGCTGAAACATCTAAGAAAAAGAAATACTGGACAAGGAAATATTAGCAATGAGATGAAAGCCCGAAAGCAAAAATTTATGGAAAAAGATAAACTGAACAAGGAAATATTGGAAAGGGCAGTAAGTAAAGGCATGGATTGAATGGACAAACTAACCCAACCTTGAAACTGGCATCAAAAGACAGTAGAAAAATGACAATTAGAGATAATTGATAAATGGCATCGATTGGTAAGTGACAACACAATTGTACTACATAACCCCAAAAAATGAAATAAACAAGTAGAAGTGATGAAATGGTGCTAATCTAGTTGCGAGAAAAGCAATAATATTCACCTTGAGGAAGCAGATTTAGAATTGCTATAGGAGGTGTTGAGAGTGAGAATCACTAAGCTAGCAATAAACAATTGCAGGCCCACTTGTTTATACGTCTCTTGCAATCCAAGGTCCTATAAAAGAAATTCCAAAAAGAGAACCAATCAGGCAACAACATGGAAAAGAAGTGTTAACACTAAGACAAAGGCTGTAACAAAATGAACCTTCACTGTGACAAAGAATAAGGTGAAGGACAATAGAACCGAAAGTAGGCAATAGGAGCAAGATGACCCAGAGAATCTCGTGGTTAAAATGTACAAAAAATACGCACTAGCAGCTGCCATGGAGGTTGTGATTCCAAGCAATACAAGTTGAGCATTCGATTTGTTAATCCCAAAAGCTAAATTATTTGTAGCCAATTGGAGACTAAGAGAAGCAACCAAGCCATACGCAGCCATCCCAATCATAGGAAGAGGAAAACCTGCCAAATGCAAAAGAACCTTCATTCACACCATTTTTCAAACACTTTACCAGCAATACAGTTCATCCACACAAAATCCAAATTCTGATAGAATCAAATGGCTATAAGGTTATGATACCGAAAACGATGGCGTAATCACTGTTGAGTATGTCGGAGCAGGTGGCGCCGCCGACGGGGCAAAAGGCTTCGGATTCGGTGAGCTTAAGGTAAGTGAGGTACGAGGTTTCGAGGAAACCGATTCCGGCGAGCCCTGCAGTCAGCTTGTGAGCCCAACCGTTGGGAGGCATGGCGGTATCTGAATCCGAAGAAGAAGAGGAACATTTGAGAGGCGGCAATACGGGTCGGTTTGGATAACCATGGTAACGAGTCGGAGCTCCGAGACTGAAGAAACGAGAAGACGATAGTGACAGTGTGCCCAAGCTGATGAAGGTAGCCATCGAGAAGCTCTAAGCGTCTCTAGCTACTTCTCTCTTCTCCCCAAAACGCTTACCATCTGATTCGTTTTGATGAGAATGGGCCTCGTTTAAAGCCCAACGCTAGGCCCGTTATATTGGGCCGGGTAGGTATGTAAACAGTGGGTGTGTGAAACCAAAGAGTTGAGGTTTAAGGGGTGAAAATATCTAGGCCCAACACAGAAGGTCCATAAGTTCCGGTGTAGCTGGGGCTGGGCGATGGTGTTGCCACGTGTTGAAGAATCTCTCCAGTCTCCACCCATATCCCATGGGCTTTTCTGAGGTGGAAACTTATCCATGACTTCGTGAGTCGTGGGTGGTGGGTCCCTCCACTTGCTTTATTTATTTCATGTTGCTGTAACCTGGAGGTAAGGTGGGGCTGGGCTTATCCATGCAAAAATTTCTGAGCCATTACGTGTCATCTGATAGGATTTTATCCAAAATAAATGCGCCTCTTATTTATTAGAGATGCTTCTGAAATAATTACTAAATCATTAAAACATAACATATAGTACCAGATATTTTTATTTTACCCAACTAGCATTTTTTGGTTAAAAAGATTTCTCCGGAAAGGGAGGTTTATCTTATATCAAGATGAAGCCTTTTATGAATTTTTATAATAATATATAACCGATTAATACCACACATGATTTAAAAATAATTTTTTTTTCGGAAACCTTCGATGGGTAAAGAATTACCATTTTATACCCGGGGTACCATATTGCGTACATTATTTTAAAAAATTAACTTTTATATAATTTTTCCCCCGGGAGATTGATTCTTATGCTTATCCTACAAAATGCGCAAGGCTAAGAAAATAAATTAATTGCTATTTGATTATGATGCCTTTGTCTACTTCGCCTTTTAATATTCGAGAAATTGTTGGTTATATTTTTTATGGGAAAAAATGTGTCATTTAAAATGACACATCTTATATCCTTTCCTCCTCATAAAGAGGTAACATTCATATCTTTAAAAAAAAATTAATTTTTTTTTCATGATTTATCTCTTTCTCTCACTTAAAATGACACAACTTTGTATCCTTTAAGATAATACACATTTTTCTCTTTTTTATACTTCTTTATTATTCTAGTTTTTTTTTTTTTTTTAAGAAAGAGCATATTAACTATAATGGTAATGGATTTTCTCATGTATTATTTAATATGACAATAATAATGATGAGAATGAGAAAAAATATTAAAATAGAGAATGAGAAGATCATCACAGTTGATTTATTTATAAATAATTAGGATATTTTCTTATAACATCATCATGTTAATTACCACACGAGTTTTAAAGAAAGTGTTCAAAAATACCGTTGACATTAAATACTTCATTTTAAACGTAATAATCATAAATTATACGATATTATTTACGTAACATAAATAAAATCAAATATTTGAATTTTTTAAAAAAAGAATAAAAATAAGAAATTGATTATCAGATTTTTATTCTTAACGATAAATTTAAATATTTTAATTTATAAAAATTTCAAAGATAATATAATACAAATGAGAACTATATACAGTGTTAATTACTAATCAAATTAAAATTTTATAAAATAATAATAATTATATTATTTAAAATCATAATAAATAATAATAATTATATTATTTAAAATCATAATAATTAAAAATACTTATGATACCAATTGATATTTAATTATGGTGAAAAAAATACGGTCAGAGATGAAGTAATTAACATATGAGGAAATAAATAGGACGCGATGGGGGAATACCGGTATAGTGTGTTTGAGTTTAGTCAGATTAATACCGTGATCAACTTGTTTAATGTAGTAGGATATTCTTACATCCGTATAATGGTACAAGAGTTAAAAGTCTTACCTTCAATCTTAATCGTTGATTCATTTAGTGAAATTAACGATAAAAATATAGCTTACACATAAAATGTTCCCGACCCTTGTTTAATAATTAGCGAACTTTATCCATTTTTTATTTTATTTAAATTTCGATTATTGAGCCTATTAAAGACAGGTGTGGATGACGATGCATGCACCTTTTGAAATCTTAGGCTTTGCAAACGACAACCTTAATAATTCATAATAGAGCAACCACTCATTTTTGCATTTGGTATCTCCCATACCGATATTATCACAGCGACGATGAAAGCAATGATAGCACCGTCCGTTGATGTCTCCGCCGCTTGCTTCGGTGCCCCTCCGTCGTGTGCTCCCCTCTGCTCTCCGAATATCAGGTCACTCTAACGAAACCATTCTTCAAAAATACTAATATACTCTTATCTCTCTATGTTATCTTCATTTCTATCCTTTATTTGCCATCTCTGTTTCTTCAACTTCAACGTGTTATTATCATGCAGTTCTTCATTTCTAAAATCCCTGAACTCTCACAAGGGACGGAGAAGAAGCATTGCTGTTCAACATAAGTTTCCAAACTTCCGGTAAGCGTAAACAAAGTGTTCATCATCATTCACCAGCTTCGAAAAACAGGAGTTTTTTTTTTTTTTTTTCCTTTTCTTTTAATTATTAAAATTACAGAGAAACAACAGAATCATGTTTAGTAATTACTATGTATAAATTGTAATGGTATGAATGATCATTTGATGGGTTATTGAAGCATGGAAGCTGCTCTGAATGGAAATTTGGAGGCTATTCAAGTTCCAACTTCGGTGCCAGTGCGTGTAGCACACGAGCTTCTTCTGGCTGGGCATCGGTATTTGGATGTGAGGTAAGCGCTTTATTGTCACCAGTAACGTACGTAATGCATAGAGCGTTTTTTTGGAATCATGTTGTGGAAGAAGCCAAAACCCCACCTCCTCCTCTGTTTTGTGTGCAGGACTCTAGAAGAGTTCAATGCTGGACACGCTCCTAGCGCTATTAACATACCTTACATGTTCAGAGTTGGATCAGGTTCTATTTCAATTCTCATATAGTAGTTAGTCCATCCTTGAAATCCAAGCATTTTTATTAAAAGCTCTAATTAAAACATTGGAGGTGGTGATTACAAGAGAGGGTTATAAACTTACAATATATTGTGGTACCCCACCAGAGTCTCGTGCTCCTAGGTATTTATATTTTTTTAAAAAAAATTATTCATATATTCTATGATCTTAATATAAATTCTCCATTCATGTATTCAGGGATGACAAAGAACAGCAACTTTCTTGAAGAGGTCTCCTCACATTTTAGGAAAGATGATGAAATCATTGTTGTGAGTGCATAATTTTTAAACTCCAGTTTGCTAGTCATTTGATTTTGTGTGTTATTTTTATGTACTGCTGCTTAATTCAGATTTTCATATTCTGGTTTCGCAGGGGTGTCAGCTTGGTAAAAGGTCTATGATGGCTGCTAGTGACTTGTTAGCTGCGGTAAGCATGCCTTCTTCAGCGCCTTAACTTAGAATTTAGGCAATTGCCGTTGTTGATTGGAGTTGAAAATAAGCATCCTAGTTTGTTTGAATGTCTGAATCAAGTTTTGTTCTTGCCCAGCAAGGCATCTTTCAGGGTAGCTGAATACAAACTTGATCGAACATTCGGTTTTTCTGTTCCTCTTTTAATAATACTACTTAAACAACGGAATAAGGTTCTTCTAAATTGAGTGATCAAGAATTTAAAGCGTATCCAGATCTTAACTCATTAACATTTAAGAAAGATACACTTTCACGTAAAGAGGAGAATTTCAGAAGAGCTTTTTCCTAAACAAAGTGCTTGCTGGACTGATAATTTATTTCGTGATGCTTTTAAAACACACTTCTACCTCTTGTTTGATATTGCACTCTGAAATCTGGATATAGTTCTAGAGAAAAATTTGGTATTGCCGTATTGGCATTTGAGTTGAATGCACAAATTCATTTCGACTTACCATCAACATAGTTTGATAAAAATTATAGCAGTACTAATTTTTACCAGGTTTTCCGGAATAATTATTCTTGGTTTTCTCGTCATACAAATTTCCCAAGGATATTTAATACCTTACGATCTTGCAAAACTTGAGCTCAAAGATTGTTTAGTGACTAAAATTTCTTCATTATGTAGGGGTTCACTGGAGTCACAGACATAGCTGGTGGTTATGCTGCTTGGACCCAAAATGGACTTCCAACAGAACAGTGAAGTGTTCCGGTTGGACCTGCAGCTGTATATAGAATAAATTTGGGTGGAGTCCCATGGATGGAACTGCGGAAACACTTCACCGAGGTAGTCGTAATCAGATACTGGTTCCCTAAATGGAAAAGTACATGTAAATGCAGAAATGGTTATATATATTTGTCGATATCAACAATTAAAGAAGGTTATTCGCAAATAAACTCTCTTTCTTGGCTTGATGTGTTGTTGATGATGCCATCGTCTCCTTAGTTCAATTGTTCAAACCATGATAAATTAATGAAAATCGCTAAGCCAAAACTTAATACAACTCCAAGTTGATATCAAGTTTTTTTTTTTCTAAAAAGAAAAAAACTGTGATTCTTTGAAGAGAGAGTTCCACATGTCACCACTGGTGGTTGCCTTGACTCTTCAACACTGAGCACAATCTGCAAGTTCGCAAAATTTCGTTTATGTCATGAAGTGTTGGGCAATGCTTGAAACTTATCAGGGTTAACAGTACTCGGCTAGTTTTTTTAAGAGTAAAATAGTTTTTGGACGTTCAACAAATATTACGGACCCATTTTAATCTCTTAAAAAAAAGAAAAAGTCAATTTGTGATCTTTATGAAATCTAGTTAATAAAAAATGTGGTTATTCCACTACAAAAAAAGTGGAGGCGGTGAGCCCATTTTTATTGATGTGTGTTGGATGAGAGCTTTTTTAATGATTTACATTATTCTCTAACAGGTTCATCTAAAATTCAGAGAAGATTTTCATTATTCCCCTCAAAAGGACTAACATGGGTCTATTTTAAATTTCAAAGGAACCATAAATTGACTTTTTTTTTCTAAAAAAATCAATTAAACCCTGTGATATTTGCTGAGGACGTACTTTACTTTTTTTTTTAAAGATTCAGCTACAACGGTTTCAATATTCTAATTACAGAAATTGAAAGCAGCAAGACAAGTGTTCTTAAGATAATTCATTCTGCGAGAGAAGAATCATTGATACAGACGCGTTTAAATCTATCAGCAAACGACAGCCAAAAAAATAAAAAAACAGTTAAATGGGGTATATAAAAAATGTTTTAACAATTTTTGTGGGCCTCAGATCATCCAATAAAGACATCATTCTACCTAGTACGAGTAGCCCAAATCAAAGTGTGGAAGCCAACTTAGGACTGCAAAAAACACCCTGAAAAACCTCAACTGGTTTAACGTGTTCGCCAAGGAATATGTTGTCACAATTAAGATCCAATTCAGGAGCTCATTTTCGGTACAACCTACTCCTTTACCAAAAAAGAAAAAAATACAGTATATGGGTGAAAATAATTATAAAAGTGGGTAGTATAAAGTATTAATTTTTAATATATTTCATAAATGATGCACCGGGGATATCTTTTCTTATCCAAATCCGACATCTTCTCCCATCCAAATTTTCATGGTCAGAGAATAATGAAAATGAATATTGAAATCAATAAATGTGAAGATAACATTTCATAAATACGAATTTTGCTCCTACTATTTACTTTAAGATTAGGGCAGATTGCTTTTAGGAATAATCCAAACAGCTTGAGATTATCAACTAACAATTCTAACAATCTCACTCTGAAAAACTTTCTTGAATGATATTGATATTTAAAAAGATAGAAACAAATAGAAGATTAATCATCCTATTAATTGAGATTCAATAATTTTATTATGAATAAAATTGGAGATCAATAAGATGACACGATATTCAGTTAAAACGATTTGATTTATCATCCCATACATAATAATTTTTTTTAAAATAATGACCATTGGTGACTAATTATTTTAACTAGCAGATCAACATTGTGCCTCTCTCTATATTCACCGCTTAAGTAGTGGCTTTTGAGTATCTAGATACCGTTGTGCAGCTACCACCTAAGTGGTGAAATGGTAAAAACAAATCCTATCATTTTAAGTTTGATATTTGAATAATAAAAAGTAATAGGGGAGGATTGATCTATGTGAAAATGTGTAACATAGCTCTATTCGCTTACAATTACCAGTCAGGCTGAAAGTTGGTGCATTCCTCAGTAGGCGTAATACCAATTGGTGACTATTTAACCCATGTACAGGGTTTTGAGCCTGTCAAAACTTAAGTGCTCGTTGGTGTTTAACCAAGAGCATAATCATTATTTGTGATTACAAGCAGCTGGTAGACTTTGGGCTATTATTACTTGCTTATAAGATAATAGTTTTTCATATCTAATGCAAATTGACCGAGTACAACCTTAATACAAATGCATATTTGGTCATAAAAACATGATGCCAACTTACTGTGTTTTAATATCTGTGGGATTGAATTGCAAAATAACATGACAATTTTATTACAGTTAAGCCTTGTATATCTCAGCATCTAATTTTTCTACTGGTCAACATCAAAGGGGTGAACGGACATAGGAGATAAAAAGCTCCCATTCGAAAAGCATGGAGAACAAAGAGCAAAAATTTAACATTACATGATGCCTTGAATTTTCGACTTTAACTACTCTTGCATCCATTCTATTCACAGGCAAATAAGAATAGATGAATGGACAAAAGGAAGAGAGGCGTGGGGATTGTAAGAGAATTTAAAGTAATAGCACAATAGAACAGAACCTTTCAAGAGCAGCAGAAACAGCCAACTCCATTGATCTTTGGTCAGACAACTGTACAGGACAAAAAGGCTATACTGTTGGATGATAATATCAGTGATGGGCACGCCTAAGTGCTGAAAGAAAGCCGTGGGGTGACTTATCTTTGTGTCGATCAGTTTTTTCATCATCGACCTGGTAGAAACAAGAAACTGAAAATTGCTTAATGGGTCCAACTTTGTTATTTAATAAATTTCAGTGATAGTTTACCTCTTTTGCTATCTGCTGAAGAATTTCTATTATTTCAGAGAAATCCGGTCTCTCCACTGGATCTTGTTGCCAGCACCGTTGGAGCAGTTCAGAAAGTCTTGGATGTGTATTTTTGGGAATAGTAGGCCGTAAGCCCTAATAGCAATTTAAGCGACATAGAATTATCATGCATAAACAAGAAAAATGCTTACGATGAAATTATCTGCAAAGAGGGAAGAGTAAAAACCTTCTGCACCACGCCAACTGCTGCTTGTAATGGGGTCAAGTAAGAGTAAGGCAGCTGGTAACAAAAAATAGTATATAAAATGAGATAAAACTAGTAAAGGCTAGTTCATCGTTTGAGACAAGAGACGAATAAAAGATAGAGCAGCAAAACCACTGCCTGGCATGAAAGTGCTCACTTCTCCAGTTAAAAGCTCCCAAAGAGCTATTCCAAAACTGAAAACATCTGCCTTCTGGTCATATGGTTTGTGTTCAATGACCTACAAGTAAAAGTCAAATCAATGGATAGAGATATAAAGTATTTTCTAAAAGCTAATTTAAAATAAAATCAGAAAAGGAAAGCAAATATAGTGATCATGTAACCACTTCAAAGTCCAAGAATTAAAGGCATGCTTGATGAAGATGAAAAGAAGAATTGAGTATCAATGCATTACATGCTTGATAAGGAAATAGCCAAGAAAGAATAAAAATAAAGTGGCCAGGGGCCACCATTTCATTTATTTATTTTATCTCAACTTTGAAATTATAAAAAAGAGAGAGATAAAACTGCAGAGAAATTGTAAGTTAAATGCTCAAACAATAAAAATTCAATATCAATATGACAAAATCTTAACATAAATCAAAATGAGTATATTCTTTAAAACCACTCCCCATGAAATCCCGATTTGTGAGGGTAAGGGGAAACAAGAATATTCTTTACTAGTTTATAATTTCTGCTTCACTGTGGTACCAAGTACCAGCTTTTCAGGATTGATTGAACTTGGATTGAATCCAACCTAGGTTGCTTTGCTTACACTTTAACTTACCTTCCCCTCCCCATACAGGGTCTTAGATCTCCTATGTAGCCAAAAAAGAACTAAAAATCAATCATTCTCTATTTTCACTGCCCACCATATTTCCCACCACAAACAAATATTGATCCTGAATTTGTATTGCACTATGACATCACCCAAAAAGTCAATCAGGAAAGTAACAATGTCCAAGAAAATTCATACCTCAGGAGCCATCCAACGATATGTTCCAGTTTCAGCAGTCATCACTCCAGACTGAGTTTGCACTCTGGCAACCCCAAAATCAGCAACCTTGACCAACTGTGGGAGAAGGATAAGCTATTTGAGTAGATATGAAATGATAATGTTGATGCGTTAATTCTTCTAGAAAAAAGTAAGCAATTGTTTTCCTCTCATTTCTGTGCACTTAAGTTCATATTTTACTGTATTCTGACAGCAAGAGTCCAGCATTACACAACTACCCATCTTAAACTTGTTTATACAAATTATAAACTAGAGTGACTCTTGCGATTCAAGATGACATACAGTTTTGGTTCATCAATGAATATAGGATCAGAGATGTGCACACTAGTATGAATGAGACAATAGGGAGAGAAGGGCACAAGACTTTCAGATTTCAACATATAATACCTCGAATAAGTAAACTATTTATTTTATTTTGGGGGGCGCATGAAAGATTAAGAGCATGATAGTATTTCGGGATAATGAACTTAGAAATATTACAATTAACTATAATTTGAAACACCATAAAAATTCTGACAATAAATTATCACACACTTATTTGTATATTAGAGTAAAGTAATGTAGAGTAATACATAACGGTATTTTTGTATTATCAGCTGAGGGTATCTTTGTAATAGCACAAGTAAAGATTAGTTAGTATGAAACTGATTCTGTTCAAACAGAATCAGTGACGTGTCATTAATATAGCTCTATAAAAGAGCAACGTGTACTGTTCACATTATTCATGAAATACATTAGATACTTTTAGTTCTCTCTCTTTAGCATTCTCTGAATGACTTCTCTTTCTCTCTCTCGTTCATCTCCTTCTCCTTTTCTTTGATGGTATCAGAGCTCTCATCCTGAGGGCCTGATACGAACGTGTTCACTATGGCTTCCGCATCGCAATCTCCGTCACTGACTTCCACCACAAACGGAACAACAGAAGCTCGTTCTTCGTCATCTCCGTCCCTGTTCAACCACTCCATCTCAGTCAAGCTAACTGAAAGCAACTTTCTTCTATGGAATCAGGTTGTTGAACCTGTTATTACTTCTCATCAACTCCACAAATTTCTTGTGAACCCTAAAGTTCCTCCACAGTACGAATCTGAACAAGATCGAGCTAATGAAGTAGTCAACCCTGCATACACTGAATGGATCCGTCAGGATCAGATGCTTCTTTCATGGATTCTGTCAACGATCTCTGAAGATATACTGAATGAGATCCTAGGAGTCAATCATGCATACGAAGCATGGGACCAGATCCACAAATTCTTCCAAGGAATGATGAGATCTAAAGCTCATCAGCTTAGATCTGAGCTTCGAACCATGAAGAAAGGTGGAAGATCAGCTGCTGAATATCTCAGGCGCTTCAAATCATTGTGTGATGAACTAAAATCTATCAAGAGTCCTGTATCCTTTGAAGAACAAACTGAAATCATCTTGGCTGGTCTTCTTGCGGAGTTTAATCCTTTTGTCACATCTGTGAGAGCTCGTGAGAATCCTTACCCAATAAATGATTTGAGAGTTGAGCTGATGTCTTATGAACAGATGCTAACCAAGCAGAATGAAACACTCCTTGCTGAATCAATGTCTGTGATTGTTGTGCAAACAACTACTACTGATCAGAAGGATGACTCTGTATCTGGAAGAACTCCGTTTGGTGTTATTCAGCAGAATCATGACCAAATTCAGCAGAATCATGACCAAAACTTTCAAAGCCAAAGATCATATGGATTCAGTAGAGGAAGAGGAAGGTCTTTTGTTCGTAATAACAGAAATAGCAGGGGTAGAGGACGCACCAACGTGCAATGTCAGCTGTGTTACAAATTTGGACATAGTGTTCAAAGCTACTGGTACAGGTTTGATGAAAATTTTGCACCTGAATCATCCGCATCTGAAGCTCCACACTATTTTCCTGTTCCTCCACAGTCCTTTCGAAGGCCACATCAGTACATTCGACCTCCTGCACATCCTCCTCAAGTGCTGCTCACAGCTAATCAACTCACACCAAATCAACTTCAGCACGTCTCAACCACAGTGTAATGCTGCCTCACAGGGACAAGGACTCTTGCCAACTCCTCAGAATGTCCAAGCTATTGAGTGGTATCCAGACTCAGGAGCCTCTCATCATGTCACAGCTCATCCTCAAAATCTTCTGCAAAGTACTCAGTTGTCAGGAGCTGATCAAGTCTATATAGGGAATGGCCAAGGTCTAAGGGTTAATGCTACTGGTTTATCCTCCTTTCCTTCTCCTTTTCAACCACACACTCAGCTACACCTTAAAAATCTATTACTTGTCCCTTCTATCACCAAAAACCTCATTAGTGTAAGAAAATTTGCTAAGGATAATGGAGTCTATTTTGAATTTCACCCCTTTACTTGTTGTGTGAAATCACAGGAATCCCATGAAGTGCTGCTGGAAGGTGACTTGGGTTCAGATGGTTTATATTGTTTCCAAGAGATCTGTCTCACTCCCAACTCAAGACAGAATTGTCATCCTACTTCAATGTCTTTTTGTAATACACATATAGGTCATAGTCCTACTTCAAAGTCCTCAATAAATGTAACCTCTAGTCAACAGAAAGCTGTAGCTTCCTCATATATGTACTCCTTAAGGCATTGTCGTTTAGGTCATCCTCATACTGAGGCTCTTAATTCTATCCTGAGGTCTTGTAATATCCCCATCCCAAATAAAAATGATATTGAGTTTTGCTCAGCTTGTTGTTTGGGTAAAATACATCGATTACACTCTCCATCTTCTACCACAGTTTATGACAAACCTTTTGATTTAATATTTAGTGATCTGTGGGGTCCAGCCCCTATGACATCTACTTTGGACTTTAAATACTACATATCCTTTGTGGATGCACATTCCAGATACACCTGGATCTTTCCTCTCAAACAAAAATCTGATGCATTAGTTGTGTTTTCTCAATTTCAAGCTCTTGTTTCCGATCATTTTTAGTCCTCTATTAAAGCCCTCCAAACTGACTGGGGAGGAGAATTTCGATCTTTTCATCAAACTTTAAAACAACAGGGTATTGTTCATAGGATCATATCTCCCCACACTCATCATCAAAATGGAGTGGTTGAGAGGAAACATTGTCACATAGTTGAAACAGGTCTCACATTGCTTGCTCATGCATCTCTACCCATCAAATTTTGGGATCATGCATTCATTTCAGCTGTTCATCTCATTAATTGTCTTCCAATTGCTGCATTAAATTTTGAAGTACCCTTCACCAAGCTTTACAAATCCACTCCTGACTATACGAGCCTTAAGGTCTTTGGTTGTGCCTGTTTCCCATTCTTGAGACCCTATAACAACCATAAATTAGATTTTAGAAGCAGTGAGTGCATATTTCTTGGTTACTCTCCCAACCATAAAAGGTATAAATGCTTGAACTCTTCTGGTCGTTTATTCATCTCCAAAGATGTACTTTTCAATGAAACAAAATTCCCTTATTCTTCCTGGACAACAGTACCTTCCCCTGACACTGTCTGTCCTATTTCACAACCTGTTGCAAATTTAATTCCCTTGGTCCCATCCTCACCTTTACATACAGATTCTTCCTCCTTTGATCATCAGCTGTCATCTCCTGTTTCTTCTAGCTCACACCCTGTTGATCCCAACACTGCCACTATTGTACATCAGTGTAATTCTCCTCTCCCATGTCAATTCTCCCAGTCACCTTCATCATCCTCCACAGCAGCATGCACTTCACATTCCCACGGTGAGCACACACCTTCAAGTAATTCAGGTACTCCTTTATCCTCTCCTTTACTTACTTTTTCTTCATCTTCCAACATCAATTCTGGTTCAGAATATATCCCCTCTGGCACTCTTTCTCCCTCTTCTGATCATTCCATCATTACTCACTCTAAGTCTTCCCTTATACCTCGCATTCTTCTCACCACCCTTGAACCTACATCAGTCAAGCAAGCTATTTGTAATCCACACTGGCTTGCTGCCATGCAATCTGAATTCCAAGCCCTTCAAGCCAACAATACCTGGACCTTGGTTCCACTTCCCAAAAACAGAATGGCTATTGGTTGTAAGTGGGTCTTCCGAATTAAGGAGAATCCAGATGGGACTATTAGCAGATATAAGGCACGGTTAGTGGCTAAAGGGTTTCACCAACAAGCTGGTTTTGACTACACTGAAACCTTCCCCAGTTGTCAAACCTATTACCATTCGGACTATACTTACCATTGCCATCTCTTTTGGTTGGCAACTAAGGCAATTAGATGTCAACAATGCCTTTCTCAATGGCATTTTAGAAGAAGAGGTCTATATGAATCAACCTCCTGGTTTTGAATCTTCTGACAAATCTCTTGTTTGTAGGCTTCATAAGGCTCTCTATGGTTTAAAACAGGCACCAAGGGCATGGTTTGACAAGCTTAAGGTCTCTTTGCTTCAGCTTGGCTTTACAGCAAGCAAATATGATCCATCTCTTTTTCTCTACCGCAAGTCCAATCACTGCATCTTTCTCTTAGTCTATGTGGATGATATTATCATCATTGGAAATGATGCTTCTCTTCTTCAATCGGTGATACAGAACCTGAATGTTGCCTTTGCTTTGAAAGATCTTGGTGATCTTGATTTCTTTCTTGGTATTGAGGTTAAAAAGACCTCTTCTGGTGCTATTTTTCTCTCCCAGTCCAAATATGTTCGCAACCTACTTACTAAAGCCAACATGGCTGAGGCAAAGGGCATCTCTACTCCTCTTCCCTCTGGTTGCAAGTTATCCAGATATGGTTCTAACTATCATCCTGATCCTTCCTTTTATCGTTCAATTGTTGGAGCCTTGCAGTATGCCACACTCACCAGGCCAGAGATTGGTTTTGCTGTCAACAAGGCTTGTCAGTTTATGGCTCAGCCCCTTGAGGATCATTGGACTGCTGTTAAACGAATATTACGGTATCTTAAAGGCACTATTCATCATGGTATGTTATTGCAGCCTTGTCATCCTAGTCATCCCTTCTCTATTACTGCTTTCTGTGATGCTGATTGGGCTGGAGACCCTGACGACCGTAGATCAACTTCTAGTGCTTGTGTGTATTTTGGTTCGAATCTGATTTCCTGGTGGTCTAAGAAGCAATCACTACTTGCTCGTTCAAGCACTGAGGTTGAATATCGCAGTCTAGCTCTTGCCACAGCTGAGGTTCTCTGGTTAAAGTCACTTCTTAGTGAACTTCACATTCAGTTTACTACCCCCCTCATATTGTGTGATAATCTCAGCACAGTATCTTTGTCCCACAATCCTGTGCTCCATGCTCGCACAAAGCACATGGAATTGGATATCTTTTTTGTTCGGGAACGGGTTCTTGCTAAGGATGTTCGTGTATGTCACATTCCTGCTGTTGATCAAATTGCTGATACCTTGACTAAGAGCCTCTCAGCCTCACGGTTTGCTGCTCTCAGAGACAAACTCAGTGTTACTGATCTCTACTCTCTTTCTCATCCACCCTGAGTTTGCAGGGGGCTATTAGAGTAAAGTAACGTAGAGTAATACACAAGGGTATTTTTGTATTATCAGCTGAGGGTATCTTTGTAATAGCACAAGTAAAGATTAGTTAGTATGAAACTGATTCTGTTCAAACAGAATCAGTGACGTGTCATTAATATATCTCTATAAAAGAGCAACGTGTACTGTTCACATTATTCATGAAATACATTAGATACTTTTAGTTCTCTCTCTTTAGCATTGTCTGAATGACTTCTCTTTCTCTCTCTCGTTCATCTCCTTCTCCTTTTCTTTGATTGTAGAAATTCTACATTCAATTTTAAATTGAAAATGTGAAGTCAACAATACACCTGATAGCACAGAGAAGTAATAAATAACTGATACTTTAACATGAAAACACAAAAAAATTGGATATTGAAGATAGGATTGCAACTGGAAAAAAAAAAAAAGATCACTATGATCCACAGTTCAACGTAAAATGCAATATATTATAAAGGAAAAGTGTGTGTCATTTTAAAGGATGTAAAGTTATGTCATTTTAAGAGAGAGAAAGAGATAGATAAAGGAGAAGAGAGATTTGACAAAAAAAATAAAGGTGTGGATCCCACCTCTTTGGGAGAGTGAAAGGATATAAGTTGTGTCATTTAAAAGGATAAACACTTTTCCCATATTATAAACCAAATATTACACACAGACAGAGAGCAGCAAAACATAGACCAATATATTTAAAATGCAAAAGGCAATATCAATGTGTGCATTCATGGAATCCTCTTACTTCATTTTCATCCATAAGAAGATTGGCAGTCTTGAGGTCCCTGTGAATTATATTATTTTGGTGCAAATAATTCATTCCCTTGGAAACATCAATCGCTACTTTTAGTAAAGACGGAAGCTTAAATACACCCTTTTGTTTGTGCAGAAAGTCATATACGCTTCCTCTAGACATAAACTCTGGTAAAGACATAAACATGAGCACATAAGCATCAAAATTGAATTATCAGGTGACTGAATAAGGCACCCAAATCATCTTAGAAACCAAATTACTTGATACGACATTAATTGGAGATATTATACTGATTCTAAAACTAGTATAAACTTAAACTAGCAATATGAATTAAAAAAAGGAGGCTGGTGCACAAGGCTTCCACCATTGTGTGGTGTGGGGAGGGTCAAATGTAAGGACGTAGCCTCCTCCATAAGCAGAGAGGTTGTTTCCACAACTAAAACCCATGACCACCGAGTCACAATGCAGCAACCTTATTGCACCAAGGCTCACCCTCTAAACTAATAGTATAAAACTTAAAAATATGACAACATAAATTCTCAGAGTCCTCTCCTATTTACCGGTAACAATACAAAGATTTGGTGGCCGAGTACAAGCACCGATGAACTGAACAACATTCTTGTGTCGTATCTTCCTGCAATCCAAGATAAGTCATAATTGGTAAAGGAAGAATGGTAACTCAGACCTACAACGATACCATATCACTAATACAAACAAACTAGGATAAAAATACTAGTGAATTTGTCAGGATGGAAACATTATTAGATATTTTCAGAAATTCAGAAGCATCTGATGCAGTGGATACCTGGAAAAAAATATATATATATATTCTTTTCAGTTAAGATAATATATTCCTTTTCCTGAATGGTCGTAGCAAACAAGTCTGGATAGTTTTCCTATAACAAAGAAAAGTTCATTCTCCTTCCGTGATTGTAATTAGCCAACATTCATGAATCATTGAGCCAGATAATTTAACTGTCTGTAATGCCAATTTCAGGGAACCAGTCTGCCATAAAATTTGAAATTATATATCTGAATTTTTATTTTATTTTCAGAACTTAAAAATTCAATATTACAGCCAAAGTAAGCATCACTTTGAATAATCAAGCAGCAGCATAGGTAGCACATCTTTGCATGTATGTGCAATAGTGTAAAAGAGCGTGCAAAGTTGGTTTGCAATAGGAGCACAAAATTTTGTACCAGGCTGCCAGTTGCTGATGGTTTACAATCTGATAGACCAAAAACAAGAAACAAGACAAAAAAGGTCTAACCAAATGTATTAAGTCCAAGCAGTTTCATTTTTTAGGTCTAGGACTAGGAAGAAAGGGGTAAAACACTCCAATAGACAACAAGCGTCTACTAGCAATAAAAATCAAGATAATTTGTCTAGCAGCATCAAGTCCATCTTTTTCATTCCTCCATCATAGTTAATTACAGGATGTGAAAGCCAGATTATCATTTAATACAATACAGAATGACCAATTAAAAACAGGAAAGGGAATTTACAGCACAATCTTCATTGCTAAAAGCATTCCTTTTTCCATTCCCAGATTATAAGGAACTAAAAAGAAGTAAACGCAGAAAAGCATAGGAGAAACAAAAATCTCAGTAATGGGAAATAGAAGATCCACCAAAATTATATTCAATTATGCAAACAAACCTCATGATATAAACTTCCTGTGCAAACTCTTTCAGCATATCTGTACTTATGCGCTCAGGCTTAAGAACTTTGATGGCCACATCCTGACTGCAATATGTACCTCTGTACCTAAGGAAGTTCAAAGGAAGAGGTAGAGAGAGACATTAGCTAAAAAGCCATGTAGAGTTCTAAATATATTTCAAACGCAAATAACTCACAAGTCACCGAATGACCCAGAGCCAACTTTGTGTTCATATTTCAGTTGGTCGGTATCAATTTCCCAGACATCAGCTCCATCAGAAGGTATTTGTATGCAATGAGGAGAGGGTTCCATCCTTGCCTGGTATTGTTCATTGGTAGCATAAAGTATGCCCTGATTTGACAGATATTGCTCCTGAAGTGTGGATAAGATATTTTATATCAATATTCAATAGGCTTGTAACACAGAAATGTAATTTAGTTGTCAGAATGAAAGCATAGAAAATTTAATATTAACAGATGCTGCCATTGCTCAAATATAGTCAAACTGCAGTAATATAATCTTCCCTTCTTAATTTTGAATAGGTGTCATTGTATCAAAGTCCATAGTAACTAGCAAGAAAATTAAAATATTACAAAAAATCTAAAACTTCATATTTAGAAATAATTAATTGGGAGAATATACCTCAACCTTCAAAATTTCCCTTTCCAACACACTTTTAAGCTCCTCAGTTTCCTAATAGCAAAAGGAAAAGACATCAGACGCAAGATGCTATTTGGATATAGAAAATACAAGTGAGAATAATAAGAAACAACCACGTACATCAAAATCAAATATAAGAGGAGAAGGAAAGAAATAATATAAACATGCAAGAACTCCAAGCAAACAAATGAATGGATTGAAAAGCAAAAGATTCAAAATCCAGATGAATTTACATGACAACCCAATACGCTTGATAGAAACCGTTACACGAGTAAACAAAAGGCGTAGAAAATAGAAAAGCTTGGAGGACTCGGGATTGCCACACTAAAAAGAGAATTCTACAAAATGTTATGTCATATCGCTATTGACAAAAGAGTCTTCAAACCTTCCTCTTATATTCTATTGCTATAACAATTCTGTTATCTTGCAGAAACCAACCAACTGCCTGAGCATTAACAAAGCTTATATAAAAAACTCCTAAGCTAGTTTGGCAAGGCCATTTAATTAAAACTTGAAACAGGAAGTCTCAAGTTTTGTCAAGAGACAATGTTAACAAGATTTTATTTTTATTTTTTTTACTTGCTAATGCATATGAAGACGTTAACAGACCAGAGATTTCACAAACACAAACGATAGAATAATCTGCCATTTTAACCATAATTATATAAAAATAGGTAACTAAATATGTCTTCAGGTCTTTCAGAGGGACAAAGGAAAATGCTTAAAAACAAGTTATAATAGGAAACAGCATGCATGGTTGGTGCCTCGGTCATACAAATACAGCTTTTTGGGTGTGTACCTGTACTTCGTATGTATCCAATTACTAAGGGATACTCAAAGTGCATATTGGTGATATAATTATATTTTCATACTGTTAGAGATATATAAAACCATTAAAAAGGCTTTCACTTAACAGCTTAAGCTAGTGGGTGAGGGCTTTTTAGTGGTTTATATTATTCTCCAACACGTCCCCTCACACGAGAGCCCATTGGGCTTAAAGGGTAGACAATGCACAGGCTCACCTACCTGTGCTAAGAAAATTCCACAAAGAAAATGGGGGCGGTAAGAATCGAATCCGGGACATGAGGCTCTGATACCATGTAAAGAACCATTTTAACCCAAAACCTTAAGGTATTGGGTGAAGGCCTTTTTTAATGATTTCTATTATTCTCTGATGGTACCAGGAAATCAGAAAACTCTGCAAATATATTGAAATGTTGGGACAAGCCCTTACTTACAAACACCAATGCTACTCACAAAGTAAATGAAACAATAACACTCACATTGACATAAACTCCAGAGAGACTCGATGAGACACTTTAATAAAAAGACGCTAAACATTTACCCCAGCTACACTAAAACCAGAAGATAATCCAGTGACCTCCTTTAATGAGGAAGAGAACCCCACTCCTCATCAAGCTTTCCTATCTTATCCATATGCTTACTGTCTAACTCACTTCCTCACTCCCAGCCCCTTCCATTATAACAGACTCCACTCCCACATTACCACCCACTAATTCCTCTCCATTGAGAGCCTTCCACGTGTCACCTTTGATAACAAACTCCATGGGCCTATCACTTTAGGCCTTATTCTGTTTATTCATCTCTTTTTTACGTTCATATACCAACTTCAATGGTCCAACAATACTTCCCCCTTTAACATTCACCTTGTCCTCAAGGTGAAAAGCTGGGAACAGCTCCTACAACTCCTCCATAAAATCCCAAGACCACTCACAATCCGGCAAATTTGCCCATTCAACCAACACCTCGATTTTCCATTCAATAATCTTCTGGCGTCTCTAATTGCAGCTGGTTGGACATGTAACTCAAGAGATTCAGTTAAACACGTGGGAAGAAGTAGCACCGGTACACCAGGACTAATAGCCTTCTTTAATTGTGAAACATGAAAGACTAAATGAACACGGGAATATTCCGGAAGTTTTAATTTATAAGCCATTGGGCCTATTTTCTCTTCAACTTCAAAGGGGCCATAGAACCTTGGACTAAGCTTCTGATTAATTTGTTTGGCCAATGACCTTAGTTTATAGGGTTGTATCTTCAGATATACCATTTCTCCAACCCCATATGATACTTCCCTTCGTCCCCTATTTGCCTGCACCTTCATCCTCTCTTGGCCTTTGCATAAATTCTGCTTCAAGTTAGTTAAAACAGCATCTCAGGCTTGCATCCACTGATCTACTGCAGCCACTGAAACTGACTGCTGGTCAAAATGAATAATGGAAGGTGGATCCCTACCATAAAGTGCCTTGAAGGAGGTCATTTGTGAAGATCTGTTATGTGAACTGTTAAACCAGAATTCAGCCCATGGAATCCATTTAGCCCAACTTCTTGGGTGGCTGCTAGCAAAACATCTTAAGTACGTCTCCAAGGTGCGGTTTACCACCTCCGTTTGCCCATCCATTTGTGGATGATATGTTGTTCAACTTTGTGCCTGCTGCCTTGAACAATTCTCCCCAAAATTTACTGAGAAACAACCTGTCCCTATTCTTTACTATCGACTTAGGAAACCCATGCAGCCTAACTATTTCCTTAATAAACAGCACCGCTACTTCTTCTGCACTAAACGGGTGAGTGAGAGTAATAAAATGCACGTATTTGGTTAAACGGTCCACCACAACTAAAATGGTGTCTACCCCTTTGGACTTTGGTAGTCCAGCAATGAAGTCCATAGATAGTTCTTCCCACACCTGATTTGGAATTGGTAAAGGAGTCAGCAAACCAACAGGTAATAAATTTTGATACTTGTTCTGTTGACACACACTATAAGCCTGCACAAAATTCTCTACATCCCTGCGCATTCCCTTCCAGTAAAACAGAGCTGAAATCCTCTTATATGTTCTAATTTCCCCTGAATGACCTCCCCAAGGGGAAGAGTGAAATTCTTCTAAAATTGTGAACAGTAAGGAAGATGTCCGAGGTATAACCATCCTATCTTTATACCATAAGCACCCTTTAGCCACATGATAACCCGGATATGAAGAGGCATCATTTAGAACTTCTGTCATCACCTTCCTAATTCCAGGATCATTGAGAGCTTCCTCTGAAAATGTCTGCAGATCTGGGCTACTGGTAACTGACAACATTTTACAGTCCATGACTCTAGACAGCACATCAGCTGCCTTGTTTTCCATTCCCAGTTTGTACTGAATTTCCAAATCAAACCCCATGAGCTTAGCTACCCACTTCTGCTGCCCTTCCACCATTAACCTCTGTTCTATCAAGTATTTTAAGATCCTCTGGTCTGTCCTGACAATAAAATGGCGACCTAACAGTTAATGACGCCATTTTTGCACCGAAAACACAATAGCTTTGAGTTCCTTCTCATAGACAGATAAAGCCTTATCCCTTTCTGAAAAAGCTTGACGGATAAACGCAATTGGGCACTCTCTTTGCATTAAAACAACACCCATTCCCTCCAAACACAATGACGTTGTTTCTACTTGTTCGCTGGCAGGAATCCGGTTGATACAAAAGTATCGTTCCGCTCGATAAAGCCAATCGTAAGGGTCTTCACCAGAAAAGTAAAGGACCTCCACCCTTCGTCTTCGCTCATCTTCTCTCCCAAACCCATTATTGACCCCCACATTATTGTTTTCGTCTTCCTCTGTATTTTTTCCCCCATTCCTTTGAGGCATTCCCTCACCCTGATGGTTCATACTTTCCAGAATCTCGTTGAGCATAGTATTCGCTCGATTCATTGACGTTTCCAATCTCCCCAGAACACCTTCATTTTGTCTCTCCGTCGTTACCAGCCTCTGTTCAATGTCACCAACTCTTGCCTCCATCCGTGACCTAAACATTCAGAGCACCCTCAGGATCTGGTGCTTTGATACCAATTGATGGTACCAGTAAATCAAAAAACTATGCAAATATATTGAAATGTTGGGACAAGCCCTTACTTACAAACACCAATGCTACTCACAAGGTAAATGAAACAGTAACACTTACATTGACATAAACTCCAGACAAACTCGATGAGACACTTTAATGAAAAGACGCTAAACAATTACCCCAACTACACTAAAACCAGAAGATAATGCAGTGACCTCCCTTGATGAGGAAGAGAACCCTACTCCTCATCAAGCTGCCCTACCTTACCCATATGCTTACTGTCTAACTCCCTTCCTCACTCCCACTAATTCCTCTCCATTGAGAACCTTCCACGTGTCACCTCTGATAACAAACTCCATGGGCCTATTACTTTGGGCCTTATTCTGTTTCTTCCTCTCTTTTTTACGTTCATATAACAACTTCAATGGTCCAACATTCTGTAACACACACCCTTATGCAAGAGCCCTTTGGGTTTGGAGCGTGGATATTACACGGCCCAAATTTCGATTTTACATTGTGTTTATTTAATTCCATAAGTGGGGGCCGTGAAGATCGAACTTGTGATCTTATGGTCACTAAAGCTCTGATACCATGTGCTAGGTTTGATGTATTGTACACCCTTCAAACCCAATGGGCTCTCGTGTGATGGGCGTGTTAGAGATATATAAAACCATTAATGTAACCTCACCCAACAGCTTAAGCTTTTGGGTTGAATTGGTTTTTTACATGATATCAGAGCCTCAGTGTCACGGGTTCGATCCTCGCTACTCCCCATTTTCTTTATGGAATTTCTTAGCACGTACAGGTAGGCTGGGCCTGATGCATCATCCATCTTTCAAGCCCAATGAGCTCTCTTGTAAGGGGGCGTGTGAGAGATATATAAAACCATTAAAGAGGCCATCACTTAACAACTTAAGCTTTTGAGTTAAATTGATTCTTTACACATACATTAATTTTGTCTAAAGCATTTCAGATGTGGCTTTGGAATATACCAAATACACATTAAAAAAAATGCCAAAATGCACAAAATGCTCCAAAAGAGATCCAAAAAATCAATGGTAGAGCCAAATTTTGGCTAAAGTGAGCAGTTGCACTGAGCCAAAAAATCAAAGAGATCCACACCCACTTTTTATTTATTTATTATGGTAGCAGAAAATGAAACCATCCCATCCTCCCCTGTTCTACCTAACAGCTGCCTTATATGAGATTAGATATTTGTGCTTTGGTCCCTACGTCAAGCAGCGGCAGTTGCACTTTGGCTGGTATTGGAAGGGACATCAGCTAGCAGCATCCCTTGCATCATGATCAATCCTCTCTCTCTCTTGTTTTCTCTTTCTTATAAAGAAACCCTAAATCTATTTGGTTATAATTGTGGAATTATTCTGTATGCTTCAACTTTGTTGAAAATGGAATTTTCACGCTTTATTGGGTGATGATATGGTTTGCAATGATTCTGTTATGTTAATATCACTTTTGGAAAGCAATAAAAAATTAATTAGGCATACTATTTGATAAAGTACCCCGCTTTATCCTAAATTTGTCAAGAAGAGTTGTATTTATGTATTTGTATCCATACAACATGATTGTTAGAAATGCCATGGATAAGACATAAGCAATCATATATTATTAATGAAATGGAAAGGTAAGCATGCCATTAAGAAATAAGAAAAATTTAAAGTAATATCTGAAATATCATTTTACAAATTCAAAATTGCAACCTGTACTCATAGCAAAATGTTCAAGGCATACATTAAGTCTTTCTGTTTCCCAAAACACTAGCTAGTGTTTTTATGAGGTCATAGCTTAGCTTACCTCATTAGGCCATCCCACAACGACAAAGACATCCAGAGAAAACCCATCTGTGGTGGAAAATGCATGAGCTTCTTGAATGTTCAGTCCGATCTCACCAAGTACTGAAGTTAACTGACATGCACAGGAAACGGTGAGAGGCAGCATATAATGTAAAATGCAACTGTTCAATCATATAATTCAACATAATTAATTTTAATCCATTGTCTGTGTAAAAGAAAAGTTTTACCAGCCCAATGACATATTGCCACATCAATTAATAAATTGGACACCTCAGGTAAGTCTTAACATTGTAAAATTCATTAAATAATGTTACAATACATCATCAGATGGGAGTATTGTTGAATAACATTGGAAACAAAAGGTAAATGTTTGAATTCAGTGTGTCTCAATAACACAACGAAGGTTTTATTATATAGAGTGACTATAACAATTACATAAGACTAATATAATGACGTGGGACTTCTTATCAACCTATTTTCAATACTTCGAACTCTCCCTCAAGCTATAAAGCTTACTAAAACTTTTACTTTGTTACAAATGAAAAGTTAACCAAAAAATATATTTGAGCTCCAGAAAATATGGTTGCAGGGCCAACTATGCTGGAGACTTTAGATAGATGAAAAATGCTGGAAAGGCAACTCAGCAAGATCGTCGGAATGACGATCAGCCTAAAAAGCTAGTTGAAATATTGTGTAACCAAGGAAGAAGAGACTTCGCTAAAATGACCATTAGCGGAAATGTCCTAGCAAGCAAATATAAACAAGAAGAACTAAAACTTTCTTTGTTAGAGAAATATAAAATCGATAATGTGGTCTTTATTTAAGAGCTTAAACTTTTGGGTTGAATTGATCCTTTACATGGTATCAAAGCCTTTGTGACCAAGTGGTCACAAATTCGATCTTCACCGCCTACATCCTATTAATAAATAATTAAATATTATGAATTTTCTTAACAGAGGTAGATGGGACTATACACCCTTTAAGCCCAATGGACTCTTTGTGAGGGAGCGTATTGGAGAAATATAAAATCATTAATGTGACGATCAGCCTAAAAAGCTAGTTGAAATATTGTGTAACCAAGGAAGAAGAGACTTCGCTAACACGACCATTAGCGGAAATGTCCTAGCAAGCAAATATACACAAGAAGAACTAGAACTTTCTTTGTTAGAGAAATATAAAATCGCTAATGTGGTCTTTATTTAAGAGCTTAAACTTTTGGGTTGAATTTATCCTTTACATAGTATCAAAGCCTTTGTGACTAAGTGGTCACGAATTCGATCCTCACCGCCTACATCCTATTAATAAATAATTAAATATTATGGATTTTCTTAACAGAGGTAGGTGGGACTGTACACCCTTTAAGCCCAATGTACTCTTTGTGAGGGGGCGTGTTGGAGAAATATAAAATCATTAATATGGCCTTCACAGGATAGCTTAAGCTTTTGGATTAAATTGGTTTGTTACATCCTCCAAGTTCATAAAAAAAACAGCATTTTTGGAAGCTCTCACCATGAGAACTAAGGAGACCCAATCAAAGTGTGTCTAGAACAAGGTTCGACGGGGCCAGTCTGTAATTAGGACAAACTATCCACAGGGCCAGGCTACATATGAGACGAGGACCGACAAGCCCAACAACATTTGGGATGATATGACAGGGCTAGAGAGCAACTTCAAAATTTCTTATTTCTCCCCCTCAATACAATGTTGGCATTGGAAAAAAAAAACATCAACACGAAGGGCCAGATCTGACGAGAGAAGAGTGTGGGCATGCTGGAATCACGGTTTCCCACCTACGAACAAAGAGAAAGAATCTGAAAAAGCCAAAAAAAGGAGAACCTACAACTAAGAAAGACCAAATCTGGATGGGTCTGGCCTGAAATGCCAATGAATTGCTGGAAAAAATCAAAAATGCAGAAAAAGCCGACACAAAGTGGGCCCATGGCCAGAGAAACATGGGGAATGGACAAAAATGAGGAGGCGACTAGGTATGAGGACGTTGTTGGTAGTCGGACTTGGACGTTTGGATAGATTGGAAGGAGGTGGTCCACTTCAGAAGGTTAGCTGCCAAATAGGTTATCAAAAAAATTTCTTGTAGACAGAGAAGACGACTCGCGACGCAAAAAGTAGTCATGTGTGGTCGAGTGACTAGCCGAATGACAATGGCAACTGGCGATGCACCAAACTTGAGGAGACGCTCCATATCCGCTGGTCACTAGATCTGTGTGTCTCAAATAGCACAACAGAGGTTCTGTTATATAAAGCAACTATAGCAATTGCATAAGACTAATATAATGATACGGGACTTCTTATCAACTATTTTGAATAATTCTAACAAGTGTAAGACTTTTTTACACCAATAGTTGCATGAAATTTAACTCACTCAAAAACTCCAAATATTTTGATCCTTGTGCAATGAATAATCAATTGAGTTAACCCCAAAGTTAGCAAAATAAGCAAGGAAGCAGTCCACTCATTGATTAAAACTTATAGAAGTCTCCGTGAAAGCTATAAGATCCAAATAATTACAGTTTTGAACACAATTGGAATTTCCCCTTTTCAAATATAAAAGAGCAACCGAAAAAGGTTATAGGAATCATCACCCATAAAAAATAGTTGAAGTAAAATACTCCTCTTTTGCATTTCCTATTATACAATAAATTATATATTTACAGAAGTGCATCCATATGAGTTTAAATTTATGGTTATAGATAAATATTAACAGATGAAGACATTACGGTACTTAATTGTACATTTACACCTTCATAAGTGGTCAATCTAATCTGTGTGAAAAATGAATACTCGGGGAGTATTACCACTTACAGCACTTTACAAAGAAAATTTTCAACATATAGTTTTAGGATTCCTATGTTTGACAGCATCCATAACAATTGGCAAGAAATATGTCCATAGTCGATACAAAAGGCAATGAAAATCCACAGTTATATCTTCCATAGTATTTCAAGAAGTCCTCTAACCAAATCAACTGCCCAGAAAAGCAAGAGCTATTGGCTATTATCATGTTGGATGCTGAAGAATACAGTAAAAGAGAAAATAAAATGAGGATTATACACAAAAATATCACCCAGTAATTTAAAAGCACCATATTACAAAAGTATTAAAAATACTTTTAAAAAATAAAATCAGAAGTAATTACCTGACTAAGGAGTTTAGGCTTGTCAACTGTTGAAAAGGTAATCTCGTGCATAGGCCTAAAATTTAATTAGTGAAAAGATTAGCACTGGTTAAACTTTTAAACGGTAATGCCTTTATTAACTGCTATGAAGCTAATGGAAACAAGAGCTATAAAATATAGAGGGTCTTTACGATCTAGAGGGTTAGCAATAAAACTCTTAAATACAGTCTTCTCATTGACTGATTCTACAAAAAAAAAAAATCTATACAGCATATTTCAGCAACATCTTTATGTAAAGATGAAAACGCCTAATAATAAAACTAAGGGGAAAGTGTGTGTCATTTTAAAGGATGTAAAGTTGTGTCATTTTAAGAGAGAGAAAGAGATAGATAAAGGAGGAGAAAGAGTTGACAAAAAAAATAAAGGTGTGGGTCCCATTTCTTTGTGAGAGTGAAAGTATATAAGTTGTGTCATTTAAAAGGATAAACATTTTTCCCTAAAACTAAATATTCCCTACCTACCTACCTACATCTCTCTCTAAAACTTGCACAAATAATAAAAACCAAGACACTTGCACAAATAATAAAAACCAAGAGACTTGCACTTGGAAAATTATATCTTCAAAGTGCATGAGATTTTATCCAAGTCTATATATCAACCTCATTATAAAATACAAGCTTTTACTTGATCAATATGAGACACTTTGTAACAATACTAACTGAGCCGAAGAAAGAAAGAAAGCCCATTCACAATATCTTTCCGAGAAGAATAACAGTACAAAATAATGAATTTATTGAAATGCATACCCGTGAAAATATGGTGGCACACCCATAGCACTGCCCCCATCTTCAATGCTATTTTTAGTTGTTTGAAGTGCAAGAGCTTCAAGATTAGAGGATGAACCAAATGTAGGCGGTGGGTGAATTCTTTTTTGCCCAAGAGAGAAACAGAAATGAGATTAAAAAATTAACAAATTATACAAATGAAAATATAATAATGATATGAACAAGAGCTTGGATAGTAAAAAGAACTTGATGTTCTTGTTGAGCAATGGCAAGTATGGAAAATTAAACTGATACATCATGTGAGCCATACCCCTGCTTAAACGAATAGTTAAGAGAACTTTGTGCATCTTCTTTCTCAGAAGGATCTGAATGCATGGAGTCAACATAATTTGCACTACCAAAAGGATATACCTGCATTGAGGATGATACTAATATGATTCGATTTGTATGTAGCATTTCTCTTTTCTTATTTTAGGCAATTATAAAGATACTGATTCCAGAGTCCAAATTTTATGCCAATAACAGCTAGCAGTTATCAGTGGTGCAGTCAAGGAAAGAAAAAAAAAAACAGTTTCATGCATGCTCAACAACCTTTAGAATACTGAATTCTTGATTTGCTGGAAAAACACTTAGGCTAACCTAAACTAGTAAAAAAACTAACTACATAATTTCAAGAACCGTGTAGATGAGGCACCTTGATAATAAGAAAGATAATGCAGTAAGCTGGGAAAACATTTCGCTTTAATCAAATTTCAAGAAAACAACAACTACAACAGAACTTCAATAACCTTATAGCAAAATGAGCATGAGAAGTAATAGTAATTTAAACAAATAATTAGTGCTTTATTTACGAGCTTCTACCTGTACTAAGCGAACTTGAAAGGCAGGTCGATTAGCAGGGTCCTCTGCCAACTTGAGCAATCTCTTATGTGCAAGAACATCTTCTGCCCTCTCCACATTCACATCCAATGCGTACCTATGTAGCAGCAATCAAAGTGACCAACCAGGAGACTCGTACAAAAACCACTCTGACAAATCCACTTACAAAGGTAAAGTAAAAAAAAAAAATCACTCAGCTATTTTTTTCAATTCTCATCGTAGAGTTCAAAATAACACAAGAAAAACTCGAATTGTGCATTAATTAAAAATACACGAGCGGGAATATACAAAAATGCTAGTCACGAATTTCCTGTCAATCGTTTTCACCACTTTTTCCAGAGTTTTTTTTTTCAAGAACAAAGACAGAATCAATTATTAAAGGAAAAGATAAGAGGCAAAGTTAATTCAGAAGCATCGTGAAAGACCTAGCAGGAAGACGGTTGAAGTGAAGCCATAGCTCATCGTCGAAGCCAGGAACATGAGCCTCTTCGCAATCGGTTTCCTGAATTCGACGAAGCACCTCATTGTAGACCTCCAGTTTCTGCCTGTGATGTCGAGGATGAGCATGCGACGATTGCATCGCTCTGCTCCCGCAGCTCTCAATGTCATTCTCGATCGCCATGAACGCGAGCCGAAGCAAAGCACGATCAGCAACACTACGCAAAGAAGAAGAAGCCGAAAGAAAGAGAGAGAAATCAGAGAGAGAGAGAGAGAGAGAGAGAGAGAAGGTGGATCGCGAGAAATGGAAGGAAAACCAAAACGAGAGAGAAACGAACACTGAACGATTGGGAGAAGGGGAAAGGGGAAAGGAAGAGATTCAGTTGACGAAAAACTCTTCTCTGAGTCTTTCCTTTTTATTTTGCTGGTTTGGTTCTCTTTCCAGGCACTAATGAGTGTTTTTGCTTCGGCCTAGTGTGTTTGTTCCCAGCTATCCACGTCAGAGTGGTCCCCTCCTTCCGCCCGGAATGGACACATACGGCAAATTGAAAGTTTGTTCATCGGATAATTAAATATTTTCTTTTTTCTCTATTTGGTGTCAGAATAATTGAAGATGCTTTTTTAGTTTCTTTTTGTTGTGGGATAGGTAGTTAGAACTTAGAATATGAAAAATTGATAATTAAGAAAAATTAAAGTTAAATAAAAATTAGCATTATTAGGGGCCCACGGAGGCTTTGTCTAAGGTTTATTCGGGAACATGGGCTTGTGCCTGTTATCCTTACCCTCTCAGATGAAAATCGTGGGCCTATCAAAACAAAGAAGCTTCTCTTACATCCCACTATGGGCTTTTTGACCCTTATGACCCTTAATTAATAATTAATTACCAAATTGCCTTTCATTCAAAATTATTTCAAAAATTTACCCTCCCCAACAAACATAACACCAATCTGCCCCTGTTTGACCGTTGACCACGAAGCCTACCCGGGTACACCCCTCCCTACCCTGGTATTTTTTGAAATTTTTTATCTACCCGGGTAGAGAGGGGTGTACCCGGGTAGAGTTCTTGAATCTAGAAAAATGGTTGAATTCGTTACCCGGGTAAGAAGGGTTGTACCCGGGTAAACATCCAGAGTAGCGTTTTTATATAAATGAAAAAAACTGTGACAGGCATGGTTCATGGACGATAGCAACGAAGATCCAAGGCTTCCTCGCCATGGCAGCCTTAATGAATTTGTTTCCATCAACCAATTAGCAGGTCATTACTCTCTCTCTATCTATCTATAGTTTTACTTAGTTGTGATGTTGCAGAAAAATGGTGAGTTTTGCAGAATTGGGACTCTTATACTGGAAGCTGAATCCAAATGATGTTTAGGAAGACTAGAGAAACTAGGGGATACAATTACATGGTAATGTTGTATTAATTTTTTACTAATTTCATTTTGTTTTCTGTAATCAGAAGGTGCTTCAATTTTTTGCGTTTTCATTAACCTGATAGAAATATAAATCCTAGGAGAATATGAATTGGAAAAAGAAACTTTTTAGCATCTCGGTTATATAAAAACGCTACTCTGGATGTTTACCCGGGTACAACCCTTCTTACCCGAGTAACTAATTCAAGCATTTTTTCAGATTCAAGAACTCTACCCGGGTAGATAAAAAATTTCAAAAAATACCAGGGTAGGGAGGGGTGTACCCGGGTAGGCTTCATGGTCAACGGTCAAACAGGGGCAGATTGGTGTTATGTTTTCTGAAGGGGTTAAATTTTCGAATTAGTTTCAAATGAAGGTCAAATTAGTAATTAATTATTAATTAAAGGTTATAAGGGTAAAAAAGCCTCTCACCGTGACTAGGGGTCGTTTTTGAGATAACACCGAGAATTTGATGTTCCTTTTTCTACGGGATTTTTAATTTTATTTTAAGTAAAAAAATAATATTCAGGTTTTACCATTTCGTAGAGAATCTTTAGAATTTATTGTCAGAGACTTTCAACGAACTAATTGTTTGTTTTAACTTTTAATTCCACAATTTATTGATATTATAATATTTTACCCACTTGACGTGACTTACAAAATTCACCATCAAATTCACATTTTTTTTTAGCACATAACGGGGTCGAAGCATCAAATATACATTTGATCTTTATCATTTTATTGGTATTCATAAATTGATTGTTAGGAGTTTTCCAAAACCAAATATCATATTGTTGAATGAATAAAGCAATCTCAATTGTGAACATATATAGACTCAGTTAATTCGAACAAAATTTTAAATTTCATGTTTTAAAACATAGTTTTGTCAAACAATTTTAGAAAAGTAAGATTTGAAGTAACTTGCGGAATGGTTCAATGACAATTCGCATATCATTAAAGACAAAAACATCCTGTTTGGAAACATTTATTAATGTCATTATTATGCACGTTTTAATCGAGGTAAAGAATATTCAACGAATATATAGACTTTGGAGAAATATCTTAAAGATTCGTTTGATGAACATGACAAAGAGAAGATATACTAACGTTATTATGTTGGCTCATTTTATATGTTTTCAATAGGATAAGTTATTTTAAGGGAGAAATTAGGTTAGGAATAGATATCATAGCATAACATATCTCACATTCCTCCTATTTCAAATATTTCTCCTATGAACATTATTGGATACGTGAGTGTCTTGTTATATGTTTACATTTAGTATGTATCAAGGATGTTTTCTTGTGTAATTTATAGTGTAAATTCTCTGATCAGTAGGATTTATTGTTATTGTGACATGAGCATTCCTGGGAAGGTGTGTTGACCCAAGGGATGTCTTGGATGAGCATTATTTGCATAGCATGGATATGTATATGTTGTATCATATGATTCATTGCTTTTACGCTGAAGTGAATTCTAGGGTGGGGAGATCCTACAAGGACCCCAGTTTACTGAGATATATATGTATATCTCACCTTGTGTTATGGGGATCCCTTTTCAAATACAGGGACTGACGGTGCAGGAGCATCCTAGAGTACAAGACAGGATTATAGATGCTATGAAATTACATGCATGTGGATTACATTTTGATGTATATGCTACGTTCACATGATGATATGAATTTTGGGAGAGTATGGGGATTGACGATGCCTATTTTGATTATGCATATGTATATATGTAAAGACATATGTATAGGTTTATGTTTTGATGCATCAAGTAGATGGCTCATTTTGAAGATGTGTATATGGACTTGTATATGCACTTATGTATTACGATATGGACATTAATGAATTATGCATGAGGTTGTAAATCCATGGGCATGGAGCCTTCGGTAATAGAAAACCACTCATGGATCAATGGTATAAAGCCTTGAATTGAAAAGTTATAGTTATAATGAATTTTATGATGTCAATTAGGTGAGAAAAGATGTTTGAGAAAGGATCTCATGACTTAAAGTGCAACAAAATGTTGTATTTTAGCTTTTGTCAGGTATGATAATCGATTATCATAGGTTGGTAATCGATTACTACGTAACAGTGGATGAAAAATCAGCTTCTATTGAGTTGTTAATCAATTACTATGTTCTGGTAACCGATTACTAGAGTTTGGGTAATTGATTACCTCTGTGAGACAGCAAAAATATGGTTTAGTAAAATGGCCATATCTAGAGCTACGAAGCTCTAAATTGAGTGAGGTTTAGACTTATGTAAATCTAGCACCTAAGGCTATAATCTTGTAAAATATCAGGGCCATTAGGTATATAGATCATTCTCAGTTTAATTTTGAATTTGCTGCTCTGTTTTCAAAGATTCAGTTTGGAACAGTTGGATTGCGACAGACGTACCTTGAGCTATACAAATCAAATTGAGGCTTATGATATGTCGTTAGAAAACTCAAGATGTCTAGTTTAACATAGTAAAAGATAAGAATTAATGATGAGGACTAAAAGTCTCAATTTTGGAAAAACGTAAGGCTGTTCAATGTTGATAAAGATTACCCCGCTACAGTAAATGAAAAATTATGTTTTTGATACCTTCGGACTTGGGAGATATGATAATCTCAAGTTAGTATCCAAAATAGTTAGTATGATATGCAAAGCTAGGTATGATTTTTCCGCAAAGTTAAATGGTTATACTTACATTATGAGTTTTAATTTAAATATGACACTGATTTTAATTCGAAACACACACTATTTGAAAGGAAAAAGTTTAGCTGTGTTTTTAATTGAACTGTTGCGATTATAACTGCGCTTAATATTATACGTAATGATAACATATCAGATGCATACAGGGTGTTACAGATGCAGTTCGTGAAATATGTCTAGTGACTTGAATATGGGTATGGTTAGAGAAAGACTGGGATGTTTGTTTAACCCATTCAAATAAAGTAATTCTTGTGCAGATTGACTATCGAACCTACCTTTGATCACCTTATAGATGATTTTTTTTTTTTGGAAAATCATCCTATAGAAGATGACTTGAGAGTATTCCCCTCCCCTTCCTAGTTTATGGTTTCTGCATCTTGCTGGTTTTACTTCAGCCTGTAAGTTCCGTCGTGTAGTCTTGTCTTAGTTCCTTTAAACCCTTAGCCTACCAAAAATAAAAAATAAATGAAAAGCAAACATGACATGGTCATGTGGGGAATCATAACCATACAAAGGTGAATCAATGATAATAAAAAAAGATTAAGAGAAAATATTAAAATAGGTAGTTATAAAATCATAACTGTTGATTCACTTTTATATTATTGTGATCTTCCCAAATGATCATATTATATATATATATATATATATATATATATATATATATATATATATAAAATTCATTTCCATATCCATACTGATCTCAATTATCAAGGCTGAAGAATAAGCTAGCCTCGTTTGATAAAACTCGACGTTGATTGTCAAATTTTGGTCTAACATGATAATAGGATAAATTAAAACTTTAGCACAATAGTTTTTGTACATTTTTTTTTTTTTGAGATATTACAATTGGTTCATTATTTCGCGACTAGTTAGATTTGAGGCAGGTTCCAAGATTAAGCCTTTAAACCCCTCTCACTTGCTCAGTTCCCTGATACCAACTGAGCTACTATCATTTAGTAAGTTTTGTACGTTTTTAATTTAGTACATGTATTTTTCGTACTTGTAATTTGTAAGCATTTTTAAAATAATATTGGTAATTTAGTCTTTATTAGACATTTTAAAATGAACAGCAAGAATGTTAAAAATACTTTCTTTTAAAGTCTATTTATTATTAGAGAGTGTATCTGAATCATTTAGTGAGATTAAGTGGAGATTTTTATCAAATAATAAAAACGAAGATTAAGTAGAGAATAATAAATAATTTGTTTATAATATTATTAAAATATGATTTCCCTCAGTAATAAAAAAAACACTGTTCAAAACAGAGTATCTGATAATATCATTCAAGCAAATGACTATTATCTAAAAGTGACATACTAAGAGTAAGAAGA